CTTGTGCACTCCCTCGAAGAGCTACAACTCCTTTTTGTCCGTGCTGGTGCAAATTTCCCTCGGTAGATTAATCTGCTTGGCGGCGAAACTCTGGTCGACGTCACTCGTCCTCCAGATATTTTATAAAGCCTGTAACCGCAAATCAGCATTAGAAACTATCACAAGTTAAAATTAATTTACGCAAGCTGACATTGGGCCTACCCGGAAAAAAAATCTTATGAAAAATTACAATAGTAACATCGTAATCCAGGACCAAACTTTCAGTATCTTGATTTTTATGATGCTGCCGTCTACAGAATACAATTTGAATTATTGAAAATTACGATGTTATTTAATAAATTTTTTTTCCGTAAGAGCAAGTGAATAAGGACGCATACTATATGTTTTAATAAAAGAGAGACAGAGTCCAGTAGTTTGCGACGCCATCACCGAAAGATGACCAACTACTGTATCGAGGGTCTTATTATGTAACTGAACAGAAACTTTAGAAACTCACTCCGATAGCGTTAGGGGATAAACCTTAGATTTGAGGCGAGGCGGAGAGAACACCGGGTTCAATTCCTAGGTGATACAGAATTATTTTTTGGGTGACCTAAACTTCTTTTTAATTTGAGTGATAGAAATTTACAATGTTGCATCGTATAAATTACGATGTTTGAGTTCCGGTCCAGCACTGCAATGTCTTATACTAAAAATTACGATGTTTTTATCGTAATTTTTCGTACAATTTTCTTTCCGTGTAGCAAGCAATAAATTAATTGAGTTTTATCGCTTCGTTCCACTTTAAGACGAGCGAAATAAAAATAATTACCTTTGCTATGGTGTTTTTGTTAAATTTGCGTGGCTCCCAGTGAGACTGTTCGGTCACCATGAATCTTCGGGATTTTGTCGTTGTAGTTCTTTCTTCACTCTGCCTTCCCCACTCGCTCTCTCGGCGCCGGCGCTACCCCCTCGGGGACTTAATTACTACTTATAGCTAGAGGCGCGAGTACTGCGGATCACAGCGCCCTGGGATCCGTCGATAAACTAACTGGCGCGGGCCAGGAACCTCATATTGATAATATAGGGACCGTAACACTTCGTTACAGCCTGTTTATGTCTGAAGGGGAAATACGCTCAGGCCTGTGCATGCCTAGAAAAGTTAATTAAATTTACCCTACGGTAGGTTTTTAATGATAATCAAAATACTTTTATTTATTAAATAATAAAATATACTGTTTATTGATAATTTACAAATCTATTAATTGAAATTAATGTACATACACTGAACATATTTAAAAATTTTTTCTTAGCATATTTGGTCCTTAGCATGAATAGGCATAGACAGGTATGATCAGGCCTAAGTGTAAAATATTTGTGACACAAAGTTCTTAAAATTATCATACAAATTTCTAATTTTACCAATGTTTTTTCAAGTTTAGTTAACTATGGGTTGAATTTTTTATACAAAACAGAGATGGTATTAATAGCTTAATAGGTTTTTAATTTCAACGTAATATTACTGTGTAATCGTAGAAATATATTGTTAATAATATGATAAACTGGCTTTTGAGCATATATCTACATAAAAATTATTAAATTTAGTAAATATTTTTTTAACTTATTAGATGATATCGTAATTTTTATGAATAGATTAAATATTTATTTCGTAAACTGAATTTGAAATTTTATTCTACGCTTGTGTACTAAAATATAAAATATTAATAAAATTATAATTTTCTTAATCGTGTAATCATTGCTGTTTTATTTCCTCCATTTAACCGTATTAAGACTTCATCGTATTGTAATTTTAAAGATTCAGATAACTCAATTCACGTTGCATATTTTGAACGATAATTATTCATAATTATCAGTATAATGATTTATTTCTTCAGTATATATTGGCTGCATTCAGGTTTACTAAGTTCTGAGTAAGGCTGACTTTATCTACCAAAAAATTAATATTTAGACACACTTAAATAAATATACCTTGCATTGTTTTATTATAGATTTTTTAAAAAAACAATATAGTTACTTTAAATTGTTGCTACAAGATATGCTAAGATCTGCCAAGAACTTAGTAAACTTGAACGCGGCCATTATATCCATTAAAGACATAAAAACAAAGATTTATCCTATTATAATTTTAAAAATAATCGGATAATGAAACAAAATACTGTCGAATTTGTGAATATTGTCGTCGCCATTCGGTTTTTTAATTGAATTTACAATTATCGCAGCATGTATAATCATTTATCTTCTTTACATTATTCAAAGCAGATCGATAAAGAGTCTGATTATGGTTATTTGACGGGTATATCTGGACCGATAGTTACGGCTGAGAAATTATCAGGTGCGGCAATGTATGAAATCGTTCTTATAGGTTATGACAAACTTGTTGGAGAAATTATAAAGTTACATGGGGATATGTTCACAATTCAAGTTTATCAAGACACTAATGGATTAACTGTTGGTAGGTCTGATCAGGCCTGAGCGTATTTAATGCTTCAGACATGAACAGGCATGGACAGGCTTGATCAGATCTGATCAGGTCTGAGCGTATTTAATGCTTCAGACATGAACAGGCATGAACAGACATGAGCAGGCATGAGCAGGCTTGATCAGGTCTTATCAGGTCTGAGCGTATTTAACACTTCAGACATGAACAGGCATGAACAGGTCTGAGCGTATCTAACGGTTCAGACATGGACAGGTCTGATCAGGCCTGATCAGGTCGGATTTCAGGTCTGATCAGATATGAACAGGTCTGATCAGTCCTGAACATTTTTTCCCGGGAAGGCCGCAGAAGATCTTTCGAGATACGTTTTACTATACATAACTGTCTCTGTTTTGATCTTTTTATGTAGAGCTGAGCATCACTGAGCCGATTCGTTTTTGGCTAAAAGGTGTAACAGAAATAGTTATATATCATTAGATATATATTGAGGCATTTTGAGAAACTCTGCTGTAAAACATGCGTCTGTGTCTTCAAATGATTTCTTGCTGTAGTCTATCTACTGTACGTGTGATTTTCGAAGACATATTCGGCAATCCATTAAATATTTGAAATATGCTTGTACAATTGTTCAGTAACAGGATGACGTAAAATACTTCTACAAATTTTACCTAAGTGTTTTAGGACAATTTTTTTAAAACATTTACAATTAATTTAAATGAAGAAGCAAACTAATAAGTTCAATAATGATGTTTTATGGGTTCAGTCGAAATTTAAAACAATAACCAATATTGTTTTTAGATCAACAAAATACAAAGAATTGTTTTAAAATATATCTAAATTAACAATCTCAAGTTAACATATAAAACTATCTTTATAATTAAAAAGTTCTTCCAATATTTATCATTCAATAAATATAATGAGAATACATTACTTAAATTGATTTTTCAGATATCTTCAATAGAACGTCATATTATACTAATATTATACTGAAGAATATATAAAATCGTTATTTCAGTGAACTGATTTATGCAAGTATATGGGTAGTAAAAAAGTAGAGATCTCTTCATCCTTCAAATACTTCAAGGTGATAAATGTTAAAAAATAAATTGCTACTAGGTTATTGCGTTATAAATACTCTATGGAGATCAATAAATAATAATTCTTAAAAATGTTAAGTGGGGAACTGATATGCTAGAAAAGTCATTAGTATTCTAACACGATGAGCGACTTAAATGAATTTCACCAAAAAAAAAAAAAAAAAAAAAAACTGTTTGGAGCCAAGTGCATTAGGTAAAAATAATCATGAAAATTAACCACATTGTTAGGTTTAGTGACTTAAGGTAGTTGTAGCGTGAAAGCCATTTCAACAGAAAATTATGAAATTTTTTTTATTGAAAGATTAATATATAAATAATTCACTACCAAAATTTCAGATCAATTGACCGCACCGTTTTTGAGTAATTAATTTTCGAAATTGCATCTTTTACACGTAGAGGTATAGAGAGATGGTAAAGTTAGTATGAAATCTTTGGCCCACTCGAGTGGTACGGAAGATTTCATACTAACTTTACCATCTCTCTATACCTCTACGTGTAAAAGATGCAATATATTTATCTTTCGATAAAAAAAATTTCATAACTTTCTGTTGAAATGGCTTTCACGCTACAACTACCTTAAAAAAAAAAATTATAGTGCCTAAAAAATTTATGACGATTTTTAAAGCAATTTAGAGGTCATACAGAATAAATTTTTGTTTTTTTTTTACAAAGTTTTTGTACAATTATAGTATATTATTATTGATGTAAATAAAATTTAACAAAAAAAGTAATATAAATTTCTCAATAATTCATTTTCCATTATAATTAAAGTGAATAACATAACAAGCGTTATTATTTGAAATATATAAAATAAACAGTTTCTAATTTAAAATTCATCATTTAATGGTATTAATTTAGATGTGAAAGTTAATAAATGGGTAAAAATGATTTGTTGTTATTAAATTTTTTATAGAATACCGAAATGTATTTTAAAAATTAAATGAATAAATAAATTTTGAAAAATTAAATATGTTCAGTGTCACATTATTATAATCATTAATTTTAAAAATGTAATTAAAAGTTAAACTCAAAGTATATATACTTATTAAATAGCAACTGATAGGATTTTATAACATCACATGAACCTCGAAAACCATATTAAGCAGAAGTGGAATGGAATTTTGTATATTAATAGAAAGTTATACAGATAAAAATATTTAATTTAATAAATCTCTTAAAATTATAAATATCCATCAAAAAATTTCATGTACAGTCGTAAAAAAATGACTTTAAATATTTACACCTCCGAGTATATTGTACCTTTTGACCTTTTAAATCGACCTTTTAAATTGACCTTTTAAAAATAATTATTCTGTAGTTTGCATACATTTGTATACATCTTTATATATTAGATTGGTCTGTTAAAAAAAAAGTTTTTGTATTTTTCTCTTCCATTGGAAAACTTGTACATGGACAGATAATAATAATTCAATCTCTTTATATAGTTTGTACAGTTCCTAGAGAATCTATTTTGGTTTTTCCCATCCACCAAATATACGCTCTAACTCTTCCGCAACAGCTATCGACAAGTGGTCTTGATTAAGACCTGCCACAACTTGTATTCCTATTGGAAGACCATTGCTAAACCCTAAAGGACAAGCAGTTGCCGGTAAACCAAGGCAGTTAATGATCGCAGTATAAGAAAAATTGAAGGGTTTCAATATTGTTTCATGGTGAAGTGGAGCAGGCGTTGGATGAGTTGGATATAAGAAGACACCATCGGAACCCAGCATATTCTGTAAGTTTATTTATGAGAGGTTTAAAGCTAGAATGATAGTTACAACAAAAATACTTACATGAAATTCATCGCGAAGTTCAAGAGTTTGTGTTAATAATTTTGCTCTTTTTTCATCGTCCCTTTTCATACCAAAACTTTCAAATGCTGCGGTTATTAAGGCGATAAATGTATGACAGCTAGAGCACATCATCCACTTAATGAATTCCCACCAAATAGTTATACGTCCTTGTCGATTACTTAATTCATGAGCAAAATCTTCTCCAACGGGAGAAACCATATTTGCAAGCCAAATCGCAAGACTATTTTTGAATTTTTTAATTACAACTTTTTCTGCTTTTATTTTGTAACCTGTTTTCAAATACCAAATCACCTTATTGATTTTTTGTTTTATATCTTGAGAAACGGGTGATACAAAGAGTTGACCCCCATCATCTTCCATATAATAAAACTAGTTCCAAAAATAAATTAACGATTATGTATATTAAAAAATTTTGAAAAGATAAAAAAACGTTTTAAACATTAATATAACAATTAATCAGAAATTAATAATAACAATTATAAGAAAAAATGAAAAGATAACTTTTTTCCAAAATTAGAAGTGACTATTCACATGATACTGAATTAAACAGATAAATTTTTTAGATTTTTATAACAATTGAGTTGTAATGGAAAAAATTTAGAAAAAATATTCCAGATGTAGAAATTTTAAAAAATTATAAGCGCGAATTTTTAAAAAAAGTTTGGAAAATCCAAATGAGCATGCCTTAAGCGCTCATGTCATACATAAAATATTTAGATCATAACAAAAATTATTCGTTTTTAATTTGAATTTTCCCGCGAGTAGTATTATGCCCTCTGTAGGTCGAACTAATGAAAAATTTTAACAGATGATAAAACAGTTAGTAATTATACCATCATGTATGTATACATAAGTACATATAAACTATATATAGTTTCTGCTTGTTTTATAGTTATTTCAATTCTGTTTATGAAAAATAATACATATGGCTGCCGAAATCGCAGAAAGTCACCGGACTGACAATCGAAAAAAATTAACTGTATCGAAACGGAATTATTTTGACACGCAATTTTCACAAGGGTTTTGATAAACATCCTCAGGAATAAAACAAAAAAAAATTAAATCGTGAAAGTGATTTTTGACAAAGTTGTGGTGTTGTCAAGCCCATAGCTCCCGTGAATACCAAGCTCTCATTCATTTAATTCATCAGAAAAACAAGTTTTTTCTGAGAAATCTTATTTAATCGATAAGAAAATTTTTTTAATTTGTTCTATAGTTACTATTATTTATTTCAATATGCTTTTTATCCATAATTTTTTTCGTTCAAATTATGAAAATCACGTTTTAATCGAAATCACGATTTTTAGGCGAGAGTAGAGCATACCTGCGCGCTTCGCGCTTAAGGCATGCAATATATATTTTTATAATAATTGATTGGTTATAAAAACTCCGAGAAATGTCAGATGTCTGCTAATTTCAGTATCATACTATTCACACGTAAAAAAACCTTGATAAATCCCCGCCGCGTAAACATAAGGGCCTTTGCATTTACGCGGCGTGGATTTACCAGGGCTTTTTTACGTATGAATAGACATATCCTTCAAAATTATCGGACGGCCGTATTGAAAAACTGAAACGTTCGCAGCACAAATTTTTTACATTTTTGAGCTGGGTTTCTAATTTGATCATACATAAACTGATAATTATTTTTTTTACATAAGAAGAAAATCGCAAGTGTGCATTGTTAGCCGTATTAGTTATTCAACCTATTAACTAAATAGTTAAATAACCTATTCAATAATCAATTTAACTGTACTGGACTATTCATAATAATAAATTATGAATTTTGAACTTACTTTTAGTTTCGAAATATCCACAGTAGCATCAAGATTCAATTTGGAAACATTATCACCAGCAATAACTTTTAAAATATGTTTCAAATCAGTTGCGTAACGACACATCGGACCGATTGCTAATAATTGATTTTGCTTCTCAGTATGTGGAGACGGATATTGACCAACGTTTGATACAATACCTAATAGTGTCAAAAGTTTAGCACATTTTTCAAGTAAAAAATATTATGATAGTTCATTTAATTATGTTAATAAAGACCTCTCGATGGTTTGTGGCCAAATATTCCATTAAAAAAACAAGGCATTCGGATGGATCCTCCAATATCTGATCCAATACCGAATGGTGCACCAGCTGCAGCTTGAAGACAGCCTTCACCACCTGAAGAACCTCCAACAATGTGCCTAAAAATTATGATTTTGTTATTAGAACTTTCAAACCATTGAAAAAAATAGTGTAATCATGCAATCTACAATGAATCGATTGTTCGTGCCAAGTATTATATAAATCATCACCAAGTATGATATGGATTATTGGTTTTTCCGTATATACAATTCGCACTTTCCCACCACATTGCTAACTCAGAAACGTTAGTAGTAGCAATTGGAATCGCGCCAGCTTGTCTTAATAGTTGAATGACGTCTGCATCTTTCTCGGCCTGAATATTTCTTCGTGAATACAATCCAGCAGTTTGTTTCATATCTTTAATACCTATACAATCCTAAAATAATTATGTTTTATTTTTATGAAAATATTCACAATAATACGACTGACATTTACTGGTTACCTTAGTTGTAAATGGTACCCCAAACAGAGGTTTTTCTTTTTTCAGAAGGTCAAGAATGGATGGATCGGCAAATTTCAAAATACGATCACATTCACGAGCTTCATTTAAGGCTTCCGTAAATCGATTTTCAACCACACAATTTAGTACCGGCTGAATTTTTTTGATTCGATCAATACAAGCCTGGACGACGGTTTCGGAATTTATCTACATAATTATTCATATTCATAATTTGTTATCTCTCTATTGCGTATTATCGTGTTAAGAAAATAACTTAAAAAAAAAAAAAAAAAACCCTTACCTTTTTAAGCAGAATCATAATTGAAAGAGCTTTTGCACTTCGCATTAAAACTATTCCATCATCGATTGGTGGCAGTGTTTCTGGCTCTCCTGAGAATCGTGCCGCAAGAAGAAATATCCATCGACCAAAAAATTCAATAATCCGATGAATAACGAAAAAAATTTTTCCATAATATTTGATAAAATTCTTATTCATTATGTATACTTGTTTTTCTAAAAAAAAAATTTAATTGTTTTCGATTAAGAGTCTCGCATTAAGGTTGCAAATTAAATTGCCAAATACAATGATTTTTAGTTTTTTTTACAATGCCTACTATGAGAAATAAAATTAAAAAACTAATATGATTTTACAATTCCGTAATATATTTTAGACCTCCAAAAATCTATACGTTAAAGATTAACTAAGAGGTACTTCCGCACAACATCTGAAACTACATTAATCAAAAATGCATATTTTTTTAAAACAAAAAAAAATAAATCAAGTGCTACCATGTATTCTCTAACTTTAATTAATTGCGGGAATTTGAGACAACTCAAAGTCAAAGGTTTAGATATTTTTGTCTCTATAATTCATTTTTTTTTCATTTTTGGTTTTACTTAATCGTTTGACAACAAACGACAAAAAAATCGAAAAGCCTATTTTATTCTACTAATTCATTTTGTTTCACTTTTTCACTATAGTAATTGACACACCTAGGGAGGAAAGTAGAAAATCCCAATCCGCGTGTTTGACACCCTCGCCTTCGGCTCGAAAGGCAATATCACATGCGGGTTAAAATATCCTCTTTTTCTCTTCAAGTGCGTAAATTATTACTATTTTAATTTAAACATTCATTATTGATAAAACTAAATTTTCAAAAACAGAAATTGGTTTTAATAGTGATTAAAAGAAAAAAAATTTTTTTTTCAAAATTAAGAAAATCGAAAAAAAGTAAATAGTTTTAGTTGAAAAGTCTTAAACTTTAATATCGCGACATGAAAATATTTAATATATATGTATGTTTACACACACATAATAAAGAATGCGTAATGTCAAAAAACTTACTTTTACTATTGAAAATGAAGTTTTTATTTGAGTAATAAATGTTCATGCTATTATTATTGTAGGGCATAAAATTCTATATTTCCCTTCATACTAACTTAGAGAAATCAAATAAATAAATTTTACACTATTGAACGAGATTTATTTCACCAATATTCGATTATTTTATAAACCCAAAACGCCTATTTTAATTTTTCAAGTGCTTAATGCTGAACTACTATTTCACTATTACAGCTGGAGTAGTCCACCTTATACATTATCTAGTTAATGATAGAAAAATTAGTTCATTCAACAATTGTATTCCTTCATTTCATTTCTTTTTATTTTTACTGTTGTGAATCCGAAAGGATTGATAAATAGTTATACAGCCTTAATCATCTACTATATCTCGTTTACCAGAATGATTTCTATCTTTCGATTTATTTAAATTAGAACTATTCAGGAAGTACGAGCACCAAGGCAACTTTTGATAAAAGGTTTGATTTTTTTTTAATATGAAGTTTAAATATGTCTAAACAAATTCCGAAAATTTGAAGGAGATTGCCCGATTATTTAAATAAATAATTAACTTTGAAGTTGAGCAATTTAACATTGGTCTTATGTGGTAACCTCCAAACATTGATATATTTCTGTATTTTTTTCGTAAAACTGTCGGTGAATATTTTTAAAAAACTTATGGATGAAAGTAAATATATAAGTGATAAATTTAATTCAAAAAATTTACACTTGCCCGACTAATTAAAGTGTATTAATTAAAAGAAAAATAAATGCCGCCACTAGCCAATGTTAAATGTATATCTATATATTGAGAAAAATCATATGGTTACTGCTCTCCCCTTACCGCGCTAGAGTTGATACCTATCCCCACCCCGCCTAGCGCTCGTACTTCCTTAAACGAAAAGTGTAGAAATTTCGAATGGGCCTGATTGAAACACTGATGTAAATTGTTTAAATTTAGTTCAATATATTTTATTTCTTATAGAAAAATTCAACAAAACTACTTTTGCGCTTAAAAATATAGACTCGAGTTTTATTATGAACTCTGCGAGTTAACTCCCCGGGTAAAAAAGATTATGTGTAATTATATATAATTATATATGATTCATGTATAATTATTCAGAGTTATATATAATTGTATATAATTCTGGCTATATTTTTTCCTTAATTTTGTATATTTATCTATAATTATGCAGAATTATGCATAATCATATGTAGTTATATATCGTTTTATATAATAGTTTAGATGATTTTTGTATCATTATATATAACAACGCAAAATTATATATTATAATATAAAATTTCATATAATTATGCAAAATTATATGTAATTCTACATATTTCTATAGAAAGTTTTAGCTATTTTTGTATAATTATGTAAGAGTATATAATCATACATAATTTTAATTATATATAATTCTACGTAATTTTCTCGGTCATTTTGTATAATTTTATATAATTATGTAAAAGTATATAGAATCATGTATAATTCTATATAATTTCATACAATGTTTTTCTCGTGTTTAACCATTTATATAAAATTGTATATAATTATACATAATCCTACATTGTATTTTGGATATGGTTGTATAATTGCTTATAATTATGTAGAATTATATATAATTATATAAAATTATGTATAATTTTAAAAATTTATGTATGATGTTCTTCGTAATTTTTGTATAATTATAAACAATTATGTATATTTTTTATTTTTTTTTATTTTATTTTATTTATAAGTCGCTTTTTAAGGCGCGCAGTAGCCTATCGGATCCGGCCCTTGCTTACCAAAGCATTGGACCGGGTTCGAGTCCGGCCTACACCAATTAATATTTTCAATATTTAAGTGTATTATTCTGCTCAGCCCAAGAAATAAAACGAGTTCCAATCTCAAAAGTTTATCCCCTACCGTAGTCGCTCATGACCTTAGTAGTTTATGCGACTTTAAACAAATTAAGAAAAAAAAAAAAAAAGTCGCTTTTTGACATCGAGGTCATCAACGACTACAAGCTTTCTTTTAAATTAAGTGGAATATTGATACATTTTTTAAAAACTTGATTACTTTTTTACATTCATTGTAGTCTTTTAGCATTCCTGGGAGGTCATCCGTTAGGCCCGCACGTTCTCTGTCTTGCTAGTAGTCGTTGCAGTCAATCAGGAGGTGTTTCACTGATATTGGGGAGTTACAGCGTTGACATAGATTCTGGGGTTTCTTAGAAATGAGGTATGAATGGGTGAGATTTGTATGGCCGATGCGGATTCGTGTTAGTACAGTCTGTTTCCATCTATCTAATGTTGGGACCACTTCAGAAATATTATTTCTGACATCGTGGAGCTTGCTGGATCTTTGGAGCCACATGGTATTCCATTGGTTTTTAATTGCCTTAGAGATTATTTTATTGGCCTCAGTAAGTGTGACGGGTGAGTCCGGTGGGCATTCTTCCGTAGTTGCGGCTTTCGCGGCCTGATCAGCTTCCTCATTTCCTGGGATTCCCGTATGGGCGGGTATCCAAACAAAGCTGACCTGTTTTTTAAGTGTCCTGAGGTGGTCTAGTATTTGATGGATACTTTGGATGGTAGGATTCTGGGTGAAGATGTTTTGGATAGCCCTTAGACAGGACATCGAATCCGTAAAGATGGTGCTGTTTGTGTTGTCCTGTCGATTTTGAATTATCTCAAGGGTATGGAGAATCGCCTTGGCCTCACACGTGAAAATAGAGTTGTAGTCATGTGATCGCTGGGTAACTATAGGGTTAGAGTTCGAGATTATCGCATAGCCCGTTTTTCCGTTGCAGACTGAGCCGTCAGTATAGTACTCAATGCATGGTGAATAAATGTCGCGCATTTCACAGAAGAGTGCTCTGAAGATTTCATTGGTTGAAGCAGTGTTGCAAAAATCCTAATGTAAAAATTAATGCAATACTCATTTTTTTTTAATTGTAATGTAAAATTTACTCATTGTTCATTACATAGTTAATGAGTAATGTAAAATATTACATTAACTCAATAAATAGTTAATGAGTATTGTAACGAATTCATTCTTCATTAAAATATAAAAAATGAGTATTGTAAAGACATACATTACTCATTAAAAAAAAAACTGTGTAATGTAACACATTACACATTATATCGATAAAAATTCATTACTATAACCAATATAAACTGATTTCAACAAATAATCTACAATTTATCACAAATTCAACTTGGATCTTGTATAAATTTCGAAAGAATAAATTAAGCACTTTTCAGAACTTTGAGTGGAAAACAAGAAAAAAATTAAAAAAATTTTTTAAAGTCTTGTATATAGTGCATTTGGAGTTGGAAATGTTTATTTGATAAAAATACAAGTTAAGAAATTTTTTAAAATTTTTTTTCTAAGAGAGAAAAGAATAAATCTTATTCCTGTGTTACATAGTAACGAAAATTTTTATGAGAACCTTGTGTAAATTTGCTGATGAAAATCTAACTCAATTACTATAGGTAATATCAAAAATTGGAAAGAAGATCCTTAAAAAGGAGAAAAATTCTGAAAAAAAGTTTCGACTCCCGGAACTCTAGCTTCAAAAACAATAATTTTTATTTAATGTTTAAAATAGGATTTCGCGTAACTGCTGTCGTATTTAGCATCGGCGCGGTCGCGTGACAAAAGTCAAAAGAAACAAATAATTTTCTTGTAGTTACATGTTTTCACCACAGATGGCGTTGAACGCTATTTTCTTCTTGTATATGCATTCAATTTGAATATTTATATCATCGAAACTCGATATTAAAAACTATTTATTAGTTTTTTTGACTTACTTTTTTTTAGTGAAAATTACTAGTGTTAAACAGTGAAATTTAGTAAGCTTATCAGCCAAAGTAAGTATTAGGTAAATATTATTAATTTTGTGTTAGAGAAACTGTAATTTATAGTTTGAAGTCATAAAATATTACTAAGTATTATTTTCAAAAGTAAGTAAAACATTTTTGGAATTTATGATAAGAAAATTTTTTCTGGCGCGCAGTAGCCTATCGGATCTGGCCCTTGCTACCAAAGCATTGGACCGGGTTCAAATCCGGCGTACACCAATGAATATTTTCAATATTTAAGTGTATTATTCTGCTCAGCCCAAGAAATACAAACGAGTTCCAATCTCAAAAGTTTACCCCCTAACGTAGTTGCTCATGACCTCAGAAGTTTATGCGACTTTAAACAAATTAAAAAAAAAATAAAAAAAAAAAAATTTTTTTCTAAAAGTTTTTTTTTTTTAATAGATTTCAAATATCTCTTTTACGCTAAAAAAAATATTTGATAGTTGTTTCGTTTCGTGATCACCCGCTTTTGAAGCATAAATTTGATATGATTAATTTTTTTTTACTAATATATTAAAATATAATTTATTTTTGTTTTTAATACAGATTTTAATACAGAACAGAACAATTTTAGTGAAGAATAAAATAATTTATAAACATGAAAATTTTTAAATGTCAATTGTTTGCTTGAAAAGAAACTTGAAAGAAAAAAATTGCTATTTTTGAGATTTTTTTTTTAAATTGCGTATTTGTACATGTAAAATATAGAAAAAAATACTCAAAATCGCAACACCGGTGAAGAATAAAATTTTGTTCAACATTATAAATTTTTTGAAAGTAATTAAAAAATTTATTTTGTCTATTATAATAAAAAATCTCGTTAATTCATCGTAGTATAGAATAATCAAAAGAGGAAATATGATAAAAATTTTTATTCTTGAATTTATCATACCCAAAATGCTAGATGACCGGAAATCTAAATAATCATCAAAAATTTCTTTGCTTTGTTTCACATGAGATTTTTTTTTCGCTCGATTATCTTTTTTTCATTATTGGTTAGACACAAAGTAACTACCCGAGTAATTCACTTTACTTTGAGATTCAATAACCAAAGTCTTTTACTAAAATTGTTTTACTTTACTATCAGCTAATTTTTTAACATCAAATTGAAATATTAATACAGGAAGGCTTTATTTTATCTAAATTTTTTATATAGTAGATTTCTGATATGCAAATATTAAAAATAACTGAAAATCATAATTAAACTATTCCCTTTTTTGTAGTAACTAAAATCATGGAGGAAATTGACAGATCTCCAGCAGCAAAAAGACGTCGAATTAATTCAAATCCAGATGGCAATACTTTATTAACAGATAGTGGTGTAAGTAATACTGTCACGTTCGATGAAATGGAAGAAGAAATTTTGCAGCTTAGCCAAATCAGTATTTCTCAAAGTGAAACAAATGACGATGATGACTCAGTTTCCAAAAATGACAGTGATGATAGCTTTGAGAAAAATGATGGTACTGATAATGATGATGATGATGATGATGATGATGATGATGATGATGATGATGATGATGATGATGATGATGATGATGATGATGATGATGATGATGATGATGATGATGATGATGATGATGATGATGATGATGATGATGATGATGATGATGATGATGATGATGATGATGATGATGATGATGATGATGATGATGATGATGATGATGATGATGATGATGATGATGATGATGATGATGATGATGATGATGATGATGATGATGATGATGATGATGATGATGATGATGATGATGATGATGATGATGATGATGATGATGATGATGATGATGATGATGATGATGATGATGATGATGATGATGATGATGATGATGATGATGATGATGATGATGATGATGATGATGATGATGATGATGATGATGATGATGATGATGATGATGATGATGATGATGATGATGATGATGATGATGATGATGATGATGATGATGATGATGATGATGATGATGATGATGATGATGATGATGATGATGATGATGATGATGATGATGATGATGATGATGATGATGATGATGATGATGATGATGATGATGAAACAGAGAATGATGCGGGGATAATAGTCGGAATCTTCATGTTGATCAAAACGATCATTATACGATTACTCGTGACTCAATACCTGCTTACGATAAAATGTCAGTCGATCAGATCCCAAATGGTGATACCAATGAAGAAATAGATGATAAGCAAAAGTTGTTAATTGCTACTGACAAATTAGCTTGTTTGGATGGCAAATATTTTGAAGTTGTCATTGATGAATCAAGTTTAACTGGAACAGTTATTGCCAACTGCAAGTTGTGTGATCCACAAAAAAAATTTAAAGGATCATTACGATCAACATCAAACTTCACTTCTCATCTTAAGGTAAGATCTTTTTATCCTTGAGCAAAATTAGATTGTATATTCATGTAGAACATTAATTTTTTACTATCACTTGTTTTGGATCTTTAATCTTCCAACTTATATTTTTCTAATTTTTTCAATTTAATTTTTTATTAAAATATCTTCGAACGTGTTTTAAATAAAAGTATAACTAATGCATTTTTTTACAATATATATATTCTCAGCTTTTATACTAGTTTTTATGAAGCAGTCTGTTAAATTTTTGAGAGATTGAATGAAATGAAAAAAGCAATATTTTTTTACGGCAAGTTTTTTCTATTACTATTTTTTCAAAGCGTATTTCACGTTAGAATTGTTTTTATGGATTTTATCAAAGTATCTAGACATAATGGTATTACGTCGTTAGATTATAACTACACTCTAAAAAATTTCGGTGTAAAGTTGGACCCAGAGACTTTTACACCGTCGTGTAAGTGTGAAAAGTCGGTGTAAAATTTTCTCCGTGTGAAATTTTCACTTGTGTAAATTTAACATGGTGTAATTTACTGTTTTACACTATTCCGTGTTATTATTTATAACTTTACAAATTTAATAACTATTACTAGTAACCTTGCAGTCACTATGTGACTGCCGTGACTTGTGAATTATAAATAAATAAAATTTTGCTTCATCAAATAATGACTTTTGGTAAATTGCATTGGACTTTTTTAACTATTGACGTTTTTAAAGATATGAGCTCATCCCGATGTTACACTCATCAAGAGCTTTCATTTGAGTACACACATGCACTTTGATATATTTTTCATATATACATATATATAATATATATAAAATATATGAAAAATTGATGTGGGTACTCAAATGAAAAGTCTCGATGAGTGTAACATTAGGATGAGCTTATAT